ACTCCTTGGGGCTTCAAGTAGTCCTCCCACTTCGCCTCCCAGAGAGCTGGGAACTAAAAACGTGCACAGTCACACCTGCTAATTTTTGTGTAAAGACGGGGTTGTTGCCATGTTGCACAGGCTGGTTTCGAATCCTGGGTCCAAGCGATCCTTCGCACGTTCGCCTCCCGAAGTGGCCAGTATGATATTTTTTATAAACCAATGTTGCAGCGTCAGATCAGATTTCCTGAAATTATCCTTGTTTGGCAGTGACACCATGTGTAGCTCCTCAGAGGTCTGTGATGATGAAATAAAGGATGTGTCTTGGGGAGTGTTTTTGGGGATTTACATCATAAAGGAGAAGGGAAGGAGCAGGATGAAGTAAGGGAGAGAAGCTGAGCTGTGGCACAGTCCTGATAAAGGCCTCAGCCAGGACCTCAGGAGCTCTGAAGGCGGGATGGCCTTGCAAAGCTGACTCACTGTGGCCTGGGACCCCCGTGGAGGTCAGCCGTGGAATGCAGACATCTGGAGATGGGTCTGTGACTCTGAGTGAAGAGGCTCCTTTCAGTCCTTGTAGTGGACGGATACTGCGGCTCTGCTAGCAGGCAGCTTTCATTCCTGAGGGGAGTCTGCAGAGCAGTGCAGGGCTGTCTTTCCAGGACTCTTGGTTCTTTCTGGGCAGGAGAGTATTAGTTCGAACTGTTCTACACTGACTTCTGTGGTGCCTCAAAGAGCACAAAGGGAGCCCAGTTCAGAAGTTGCTACATAGCAGATTCCTTTTCAAAATGAACACTGCACAGATAGTAACAATCCTTTTAATGTCCACCTGCTGGAGGCTAATGCAGTTTACTTTGATAAAGGCAGGAGGGGAGGAGAGGGAGGAAGAGGAGGAGGAGAACAAAGACAGAGATTTTGATAGAAACAGAGGCCTGAATTTTTAAAAAGGCAGTGCTGCCAGACGATGGGCGTGGATGATTACATTGCACATTTTCACACAACTGTATACTGTGCATCAGTCGTTTTAAGTATTGCATGACGTAAGTATAAAGCTGGCCCCTGTTTGGGGAAAGTCCTTGGAGCGCTTAATGCCAGAGACAGCCTGGAATAGTGGTCCGTGGCCGCCTGACCTCCAGAGCAACTGGCCCGCTCAATTTCTCCAATTCCATGACACCTGGGCTGCATGGCTGTGGGTGCTGGGTTCTCAGCGTCATGCCAGAAGCTGCACCAGAAGCGGGTTGGAGCTTTTCACTCTGAGGCACTGCTCAAGATGCACAATCCCTGGTTGCTGTTTCTCCCCCTTTAGTACGTTGTCCTGTTTGGTTCATCCAGAACCTCCTGTCCTTTTTATTGTAAAGTCTTTCCCTATATCTCCATCCCACTGTAGACTGGTCAGCTGTCCTCCCGTAGGGACAGTTTATTTTTAAAAACTTAGAACCATTCTAATGGGGGCAGCTATTTCTCCTGCATATCCTAAATCTGGAAGGAGGAGTCAGCATTGCCCTTGGTCTCCCTTCCTGTGCCTAGACATTACTTTACATCCCTTGTGTACAATCCTCTTTGTTTTCTGTCATGTCATCTGCCTCATCTACCCAGCACCCCTGTGGAACTACCTTGTTGGTTCATGGTCTCTTTCTGTAGGTCACCACCTATGACATCTGGGGTCAATTTGACGTCCATGTAGACAATCCCAAACACAGCGGCCTCTAACGCTGTTTTATCTTAGAACCAATAGCATTTACCGGCCGGAGCGGTGGCTCACGCCTGTCATCCCAGCACTTTGGGAGGCTGAGGCAGGTGGATCACGTGGTCAGGAGCTCGAGACCATCCTGGCTAACACGGTGAAACCCCGTCTCTACTAAAAATATAAAACAATTAGCCGGGCATGGTAGCAGGCACCTGTAGTCCCAGCTACTTTGGAGGCTGAGGCAAGAGAATGGCGTGAACCTGGGAGGCAGAGCTTGCAGTGAGCCGAGATCACCCCACTGCACTCCAGCCTGGGCGACAGAGTAAGACTCTGTCTCCAAAAAAAAAAAAAAAAAACAAAAAAAACCCCAATAACATTTACACCAATGACATTTACCTCTTCTGTGCTTAAGCATCCTGTTCTCTTTTTAATACTCTTTCAGCCCCCAAACAGATTCACCTATGAAAACTTCAGCAACAACCACCTACTGTTGTGGCTGGAGCCCCCCAAAAACCAGACCCTGAAGAAGGACTCCAATACAAGTCGTTTCTTTGGGAGCTAATCCCAGCGTTGGGGTGGAGGACTGAGACAAGGAAGGGAAAGAAGCTAATAAAGAGTTCAATGGTAAGCAAGTGCCCACCATGGGCAACTGGAGCCATTCCCACCGGGGAACTCTGGGAGGCAGCAAGAACATCCCACCAGGGGAAGGCCAAGGAGCTGCGTTAGACAGTCACTGATTCCTGACAGGTATAGGCTGGGGGTTGCTTCTAGGGGGCATCCAGTGCCCAGCACTTCTCGCCTGGAATGGTGTTAAGGCAAAAGCAGATGGCCAGGCATGGTAGCTCATGCCTGTACTCCCAGCACTTTGGGAGGCTGAGGCGGGTGGATCGCCTGAGGTCAGGAGTTCAAGACCAGCCTGGCCAACATGGTGAAACCCCATTTCTACTAAAAATATAAAAATTAGCTGGACTTGGTGGCAGATGCCTGTAATCCCAGCTACTTGGGAGGCTGAGGCAGGAGAATCGCTTGAACCTGGGAGGCAGAGGTTACAGTGAGCCGAGATGGTGCCATTGCATTCCAGCCTGGGCAACAAGAGTGAGACTTTGTCTCAAAAAACAAACAAACAAACAAACAAACAAAAAACCAAAACCCAACCCCCTCTCCCAACCCAAAAAAAAAGCAGGTGACAGTCTGGCCAGGGTGGAGGGCACAGAAGTAAAGGCTGCCATGCAGGTATCAGGGCACATTGACAGCATCCACTTCACCTGTCAATTCAGCTTTCTTAACCTGCCTTCCCCTAAACATGCTTTTTGTCTTTATCGTGGTCTCTAATCCCTTGACTTATCTATTTGCAGCTAATTATCGGCCTCCTGGGGACAATTCCTTCCATATGGAGCCTGGATCTCAGAGACAATTACAACCTCTTCCTCTCAGGATACTCAACTTCATTGTCTCCTTGTGTTTTTTATTTTTTCCTTTTTTCTTTTTTAACCACAGTTTGGTGTTTCCCAACCAAGTTCAGACTATGATAACTAGGAAGAACTGCCCACTCAGGCAAACGGGTGCCACTGAAAATTAATGGAAATCTCTCTCCTCGGTTTATTTATTTATTTATTTTGCATTGTTTTTGGCCGGGTCTTCTTTTAGTAACTCTCAGCTACATGTCCATGTCCCCCTCCTCAAATCACCTCCCTGCTTTTACTGCTTTTATTCACAGTCGATGACTCAGCCAATCCGGATCCAGATAGAATCGTCTACACTCACTGTCTCATTCTTCAGCTTGACTCAGTGTGACTTCTGGCTCCATTACTCTTCCATGTCAACCCAATAGACTTTTCTGCTCTCATCTTTCTTCTTAGCAACTTTCTTGGACACGTTCTCTTTCTGGAAATTTCTTGCCCCTTATCTTCTGGCCATAAAGCTATCTTAGTTTACTTCTTACCTTTCTGGCCATTTCTTCTTTCTTTTTGCAGTTTCATCATCTTCTATCTAGCCACTGAATCTTTGATCTACCCAAGAGTCTGTCTTGGGACCTCTCCTTTCCTCCATGTTCTGCCCATAAACAATCTTATTCTATCTATACCTACTCTTCATATCGATAATTTGGACTTCTCCGTTGAGATCCAGTCTTATGTGGCCAACAGTCTACTTGATATCTACTCTTGGATGTCTCAAAGACACATTAAAATCAATATAGCTAGAAGTAAATGCATGATCTTCCTTCCAAATCCAGCCTACTTCCGGTATACTTCATCCTGGTAATCTACCCAATTTGGGGCAGATCGTAAATGTCGGGGGGCAGACTCAACATTCCTTTACCTTACCCTTACTGCATTTCAATAATATCTTTCAAAATATCTTTTTAAGTTATCTTCTCTTTCGATTCTCACCACTGTCACCTTTTCCAAGCTATAGTCATCTCTTTCCAGGGTTACCGAAATAGCCTCACTCACCTATTTTGTCCCCTCTGGATTCCTCTGGTCCATTCTCCAGGCTGTGGCTAAAGTCTACTTTCTGAAAATGTATAAAATACAAATGTGATCACATGAGCTCAGCCCCCTACCCTTTTTAAAACTCATCAGGCCGGGCGCGGTGGCTCAAGCCTGTGATCCCAGCACTTTGGGAGGCCGAGACGGGCGGATCACGGGGTCGGGAGATCCGAGACCATCCTGGCTAACACAATGAAACCCCGTCTCTACTAAAAATACAAAAACATTAGCCGGGCGTGGTGGCGGCGCCTGTAGTCCCAGCTACTTGGGAGGCTGAGGCAGGAGAATGGCGGGAACCCGGGAGGCGGAGCTTGCAGTGAGCCGAGATCGCGCCACTGCACTCCAGCCTGGGCGACAGAGCGAGACTCTGCCTCAAAAAAAAAAAAAAAAAAAACTCATCAATGACTTCCTAGTGCTTTACTATTAAGATGAACTTTTATGGGATGTCCTGTAAGATCCTACCTTGTCTGGTTCTACTAACTTCTCCAGGTTGATCTTTCGTCACTCTCCACCTCACTCTTTTGCTCCGGTCACATTGACTGTCTTTTGATCCAAGGACTTCCAGTACTCCCTGCTTCCACAGGGCCTTTGCATATACCAAGCCTTCTTCCTGTCTTTCTCTACTCGTTGACTCCAACCTGTGAATTGAAATTATGCCACTTCATCAATGACAAGTTCTCTGTGTGCCAATAAGGGTTTGACTTGTGCTGATAAGAGTTTATAGTGGGGGGAATTGACCTATTCAGAGAGGAAAGCTTTGCTGACACCTGAGTAGGCCAATTCTTTTTACTATAAACTCTTATCAAACCATGTAATTTGACATAGCACCTATCACAGTTGCAATTTTGCATTTACTTGTACAGGCATTTGATTAACACCTGCCACACTCCCAGCCTTTAAGTTCCAGGAGGACAAGGATGGTGCCTGTTGTGCCAGGGTATTTTGTAGGTGCTCAGAAAATAGTGACCAAAAGAATGACGTAATGAATCAATGATTTATTTTCTATTTCTTAGAGAAAAAGAGTTCCGAGGTGTGAATGCCTTCTTTTTCCAGCCTAGACTTGCAGTTTCAGGGATCTGAGTGAAGACTACGATTTTTTTTTTTTTTGACAGGGTCTCACTCTGTCACCCAGGCTGGAGTGGAGTGGCATAATTGCAGCTCACTGCAGCCTCGATGTGCTGGGCTCAAGCAATTGTACCATCTCAGCTCCCCGAGTAGCTGCGACTACAGGTGCATACCACCACACCTGGCTAACTTTTGTATTTTTGTAGAGACGGGGTTTTGCCATGTTACCTAAGTTGGTTTTGAACCCCTGGGCTCAAACAATCAACCTGCCTCAGCCTCCCAAAGTGCTGGGATTACAGGCGTGAGTCACCACATCCAGCCCAACTATGCTCTTGACCATACCCCCTCTAGGATCTCACTCTGATGATTCCATCTTTCTCATATTTCAGTCTCTCCCTCTTGCCTTATTCCTTTCTTGCATCCATTAATATTTCAGGTTTCATTAGAAAAACACCTTCCTCAACTTTACATCTGGTAATTTTTCCTTTATAAATGCCCCAGAATGAATAGCTCATAGTAACTATCTCCATTTTTCATTTTCATTGTGCTCTTAGCTACTCTTGTGACTCTTACCTTAAGAACAAATCTTGTTCTTGAACTCCAGACTCACTTGCATGGTTTTTTTTTTTGTTTTTTGTTTTTTTTTGTTTTTTTGGTTTTTTTTTTTTGAGACGGAGTCTCGCTTAGTCACCCAGGCTGGAGTGCAGTGGCACGATCCCAGCTCACTGCAAGCTCCACCTCCCGGGTTCATACCATTCTCCTGCCTCAGCCTCCTGAGTAGCTGGAACTACAGGCGCCCGCCGCCACGCCTGGCTAATTTTTTGTATTTTTAGTAGAGACGAGGTTTCACCATATTAGCTAGGATGGTCTCGATCTCCTGACCTCATGATCCACCCACCTTGGCCTCCCAAAGTGCTGGGATTACAGGCGTGAGCCACCGCGCCCGGCCTACTTGCATGTTTTAAGGACTCCTGTAATTCAACCTATTATTTCTCTCATCCAAGTACTCACCAGGCCAGACCCTGCTTAGCTTCCACAATCAGACGTGTTCAAGGTGGTATGGCTATAGACAACCTATTATTTCTCCTCCAAACTTACTTCTCCTCCTGTACCACTTTAGAACAGGTGAAAGTACTATCCTCTACTCACTTACCAAAGCTAGGGCCCTGTTTACCCTGGTCTCTTTCAGCTACTTCCCATCCCAGTAAGTCACCTTGCCCTATCTCTTGTGTTTTTTAAATGTTTCTGGAATATCTGCAGAAATCAATGTGGACACTCATCTTTAGCTCTTGGACTACGATGAGAGCTTCTGAGTGGTCTCCCAGGTCAGCCTGCCTCCACTTTCGCCCCGTATTTACACTGCTAGAGGAATCTTTCTAAAGCACAAATTTGTTCTTGTGTAACCCCTTCCCCCCAGGCCTCAGTCCTCGCATAAGCGCCCCAAACTCTCTAATCCATTAGCATAACATGCATGTCCCCAAACGGTTATGTCTTCAGCTTCACCTCCAGCTGCTCCTTCCTTATCCCCTTTGATCTAGATGCTTCCCAGTCCTTGCTCATCTGGTGATGTTAGAATGTTGGACTGTTTCATGCTTCTGTACCTTTTCCCAAGCAGCTGCCTCTCCACTGGACATCCTCCCTAGACCTTTGGAAGCATGGAGGACCTCTACCTGTGGTTCACGATCTTAGGTCAATGACTACTTGTTTTGTACAGCTATCCCTGGCCTCCCCACCTAGAACTGACCGCTCTATCTACTGTGCTCCCAGTGTACCCAGCACACATTCTATTAGAGCTCCTGCTGCCAGAGCTGCTGCATAGGGTTGTTCAGGTTGTGAACTGCACAACTCTAAGGACCTTATTCACGAAATGATGCATAGTGACGACAGTCATATATCGTTGCCCTGCTTTTTGGACTGTTTTCCCTTTCTTTGCTCTTAAGCATCATGGGAATGGGGAAGAAGGCATGAAAAGGTTAAGAATGTAACATGTGGCATCTATGTATGCGGAAATGCTACATAACTCAAGAGGAATGAGGGACAAAGACAGGGATCCATGCTGAGTCAGGATGGTTCTGTGTGTGATGCAGGAGCTTCAGAGAGAAGCCTGTGTGCTGTGCTTAGGTGGCAAACTGTGCAAGAGGCATGGCAAGAAAAGGCCGGCCCAGTGTGGCAGACAGCGCTAGAGGAGGAAGAGTGGGAAGGATGTAAGCCGACTGTTTAAATGAAAATGATCAAAACACAATTGGCCGCTGAGAAGGGAGTGGGGGCTCCTCCATATCTTCCTGGGGTTGGGACTGGTGTTGGCAGTGAGGATCTCTCAAGTTAATCTCCTCCCAGGGACTGTTTCCTGCCACGCATGGATGGGGACAATCACTGCTGGAGCTTGCTTATATGCTTGTCCCGCTAGGCTGACGGCCAGGGATTGAGACTTGGTGATCTTAAATCACCAGCATCTTACATGGTACTTTGGTCCACTATGGGCCCTCCACATCCTTCCTAGTCAGAGGTGATAGAGAAAAGAAAAGGAGTTTGTGGACTTCAACAAAATCACAATAATAATAATAGTCAACACGAATAGAGTCCCATGAATCTAGCTTACCGTGCACCTGGCACCTTTCTTTCTTTTTTTTCTTTTTTTTTTTTTTTTTTTGAGATGGAGTCTCACCGTGTCTCCAGGCTGGAGTTGCCAGTGGTGCGATCGTTGGCCACTGCAAAGCTCCACCTCCCAGGTTCAAGCTGATTTGCCTCAAGCCTCCTCGAGCATCTGTGGGACTCACAGGCGATCGCTCATCATGCCTGGTTAATTTTTTTTATTTTTAGTAGAGGGACGGGTGGTTCACCTGTGTTGGCTAGGATGGTCGTCGATCTCTTGACCTTTGTGGATCACCCCGCCTTGGCTCCAAAGTTATGGGATTACAGGTGTGAGCAACGCGCGCCAGGCGCTGCTCGGGCACCGTTTCTATAGTGCTTGTATTTGTATCAGTAATTTTAGCTTTGTATGTAGGAATTAGCAATAATTCTCGTTTCACAGGCTAAGGAAAGCTGGTATGCTAGAGACACGTTAAGGTACGCTGGCCAAGATGACA